CGACGACGACGACGACGACGACGACGACGACGACAACGCCACGACGACGACGACGACGACGACGACGACGACGGCGACGGCGACGGCGACGGCGACGGCGACGGCTACGGCGACGGCGACGGCGACGGCGACGGCGACGGCGACGGCGACGGCGACGGCGACGGCGACGGCGACGACGACGACGACGACGACGACGACGACGACGACGACGACGACGACGGCAACGGCGACGGCGACGGCGACGGCGATAGCGACGGCGACGGCGACGGCGACGGCGACGGCCGCGGCGATGGCGACGGCGACGGCGGACGACGGCGCACTGCGGATGCTTCATGGGGGGGGGGGTTGCGCATACCCGCTGTAGTCGTCGATGGACGACGACGACGACGACGACGACGACGACGACAAAGACGACGACGACGACGAGGAGACGACGAGGAGACGACGAGACGACGACGACGACGACGACGACGACGACGACGACGACGACGACGACGACGACGACGACGACGACGACGCAGTACAGATGCCCAAAAAAGGGGGTGATGTGCTGCGAGCCCTGCTACAATCGACGACGACAGACGACAACGTCTACAACTACAGTTTCGACGACGACGACGACGACGACGACGACGACGACGACGACGACGACGACGCGACGACGACGACGACGCACTGCGGACGCCCCTTGGGGAGGGCGGGGGTGTGCTGCGCAGGCCCGCTGCAGTCGACGATGATGACGACGACGACGACGACGATGACAACGATACTGTGGAACGTCAGTAATCAGCCTGCGAGGGGTGAAAACTGCGCCTCGGGTGTATACGATCCCTATAAAACTTCTATTCGAAGCGCGCTCGTTTTGAGGCTGCCGTGCAGGCGGGTACACGATCCCCTCGGCGGCGCCCGCCACGACACCCTGGCGCGCGTGACAAAATAATTGTATCGCGCCCCGCGGGGTCTACTCATCAGCCCCGGGGGGAATCCATCATTTGTTAATCACGAGCTGACATTATAGGGAGGCAGAATGGGGAAGGGCACGGGGATGAAGGCGCTAGAAGTATGGGTGCGCATTGTCGGACCCCGCAGGGGGCTCCCGTTCGAGCGGGGACCCATTCCGGCAACGCATACCCATAGCCCCCACGGAATCCCACCCCGAGAAATCCGGGGACCGCATGGGTATGGGTGCTGACTGTCAGCTCCTGAACCATCATCACCACCACCACCGTCGGCCTCGTCGACTGTGGTGGCATCGTGCTCGTGGATTCCACATCAACGATTGCTCGACGAGTGAAGAGTGCGAGAGCGCACACCGAACGCACCCCTGCGGCGTGCGCAGCCCCCGTCGGCGGTCCTGGGCCTGCCGTGAGAGGCACCGGCAGTGGACCTTGACACGGCGGGTCGGCTCCTCCTGGGCCAACGGATGGGTGGTGCCGAAGGGATGGCTGTCGTGGGGGCCCCAAAACTCCTGTCGTGGGGGCCCCAAAGTCGGGGGAGCCAAAGCGTACACCGCCACCGAGCGTCCACAAGCCAGCCTTGAGCCGACCGAGGCTCGGTGGAGGTGGATGCAGCACGGCACTTCCCCGCACGACGCAGGTGCGCAAACCGGCGCGGGTCGAGAACGTGCAGGAGAAGTTGGGCTTCGGCAATGTGGGTTATGGGCCTCGCAGAAGAACGGCGTTGCAGAAGGCCTTGGACAACGCGCTGCCTTCCTACTTGGTGCGGAGCGCTAGGAAGCACTGCCCCAGCCAGGTGGCCTCGCCTGGCGGGCGCGAAGGAGCCGCGCATTAAGTCGACGCGGCAAGTCCTCTGACAGCGATGACACAAAGATACAATGATGGCAATGGCACGACGGCCTTTGTTTACCCTCAACCAAACTCCTGGCAATCATTGCTCTATGAAGTGGTGGGTGTGCCTCCCTCCCTCTATCCCTCTCACCCCTCGAACACCCCTCCTTCTCTCCCCTCAAGAGGCTGGCTCCCCAGAAGAGGCTTGAAAGCAAAAAGTTCCAGAGCACCCGACCAGCGGTCGTGCCCACAGCGCTGCCCTGCACCGGGGGCAGACTCGTCAGATGCGGATTGCCATCTCGCCCTGCCCGGCACGCGTGGATTATACCATGCCGGGCCCAAGCGAACCTGGGTGCCAGCAGGTGACACGGCGTCGAAAATTCGTTCCTGGATCCATCCTGTTCTCCTTAAAAAATTGGATGGGGGGTGGCTCTGGGAGCTTTGCGAACATCAGGAGAATCGTCTGAATTGGCAAGTGGCATACAATCCGCCACCGCGCTGGCAGCGGTTGGTGTGTGTGTGTGTCTCGGGCCCTTGCTTTTCGCTGCTGGCCTCGCTCTCGCACAGCAATACTAAGCATTGAGACAAGCATGCTTTGCTTCGCATTGGTTGAAGGATGTCACTGCGTCTCCTTGAGCCCTGCAAACAACGAATCGTCTCGTAATCCGATGATCGGCCGGAAGCTCAATGGTCCCTTCTGGGCGCCCCCGCCGCCGCCCCCCCGCCCCTGCTCCCTCCGGGGTGCCCGCCGCGACGCGAAGGCTGATTCGCGCGGCAGCGCAACTATATACATCTTCGTGTGTGCAAATGGCCGCATGTTGCTGCGAGTGGCTCAAACCTCCGAAGCAACAACTTCAAGAGGCATCAAAACAGACCACAAGGCTGCGGCTGCGGGGACACACGGAGGGAAGAAATGAGCAGGATGGGGATGGGAGGGAGGGAGGGGGGAAGTGGGAGGAGTGGGGAGGCGAAGAAGAAGGCCTTTACTACCCTCTACTTGTGTTTGCTGGGATGCCCTTGCACCCTGTCAGTTCAGCGGTTCGTTGCACTGAGCACGTTGGCTAATAAAGCCTCTGGCTTTGATGGGCAGAGGGGGGCGCCCGAAGATGTATCTCGCAAGGTGTCAGCAGTAGCCCCGGGAGCTGTGAACATGTGCGCAGCCCAGTGCCAGACATGTCGTGCAAGGCGCTGCCGGTGGCGCTGTGCGCCACGGGCTCTCGTCACAGGCGCAGGCGGCTCAGCCCAGCAAAAGCTGGGCGCTTTTGCAAAAGCCCTGCCCGCGAGACGCAGAGTCCATACACTGCGAGGATCCTGTCGAGAACGTCAACACCCCATCCATGGACACGTGCCCGTTGACGGCGAAGGGCACCATCTGCGCTTGGAACTCGTCGTGGGCGACGCACTCCAGGCACTCGGACTGCAGAGCGTCCTCCGTGGGGGTGTCAACGCACCTGATGCTCGTGGCCTCATCGGATGAGCGGCGCCAAGCGCTGAACGACGCGGTCACCTCGCGCTCGCCGCGCATGACCCACTCCTCGAAGACAGACCCAGCGGTCCGCTGGGCCTCCACGTAGCAGGTTGCCCATGGCGGGTTCAGCGCAGTCTCTTGGACCGCCTCCGCAGAGACGCCTCCTGACTGAAGCCGCGGCTCGAGGTCGGAAGCTTTGGCCGCCGCCGCGCCGCGGAGCGCATCCTCGAGCACCCTTGCGTCCGCCTCGCGCTCCGCGTCGGCGCGGCCCGCCACAGCCCGCGCGGGTGCCGTCACTGTGGCCGCAGCTGGGGCGAAGGCAGAGCCCGCACCGCCACGCGAGGCAAGGCAGCAGGCGCCTGCGACCAAGATCAGAGCGAGAGCCTTGCTGAACAACCTGCGCTGCGCCGGCATGTTTAGCTCTCGACTGCGTGCGTCGGCAGATGGGTTTCGAAAAACGCTGACAGTATGCTCCACACAGGTGCCGCCGTGAGCCACAATGGCTGCGGACTGCACCTCCAAACCTGCCGCTTGGCATAACTGATCGTCGGCTTCCAAGTCGGCGTGAGTTTTAGCTTCAGCTAGTAGCTTGAAGCGATTCTCAGTTCTCGATAACGACAGCTTGGCTTTTCGACTCTTAGATCTCAAAATTTGTGTTCAAATAGATTGCCTTCAGAAATCTACATGCATACGGTAAAAAGTAAGCCCCGACAACTATGTCCCATGCCTGATTTGAGCTAATCATGTGGTTCCGTCCTAGTCCCATCTGGAAGAAAGCAGGCCCCTAGTTGGTCATTTGACTGTCCCATGCTTTGTCTCCTAGATGCCCCAAGATTGCCTCAAGACGGCCCCCACCCCACGGACCCCAAAATTGCCCAAGACAGTCCCAAATCGCTCATAGTGGCCCAACGCTGCCCTCGAGGTGGGCCCCATGGGACTCAAGATAGCCCCATGGGGCACGAAGGCGTGCCACGAAGGCGTGCCCAGAGGCCCCCGATGCGCCCCAAGAGGCTCCAGGGTGGCCCCAAAAGGGTTCCAGAATTGCCACGTGATGGCTCGGCCTGGAGGGCTGGCGACAGAGGGTGCAGCCCTTCACATATCGTGCTGCTCCGCCCACGCACTGAGAGGCTCCGTGGAGGCTCCTCGTAGGTCCACTAGAAGCCAAACAAGCTCGGCTGCTCCGTGGCACACCAACCTTTCCGGACGTGGTGCCGCGAAGCGCTGTGGATACCACGCTGCTCCGCCGCCGCGCTGTGCTGCGACTGGTGCGTAGATGCGAGTCGGGCCCTGTGCTGCAGTCTCCCTCCCTGCGGGGTAGCCAGGGAGCCCCAGCGAATAGCGGCCAGCACGCATCGATCTGCCGATCTCTTGCTCCAGGCGACCCCTCCAGTCCAACCCCGCCCCCCACCCTTCAGCAACGTGCCGGCGCCCCAGCCCCCCCTCTCATCTTCCCATGGCGCGATGGCGGATGTGCGCGGCAGCGCGCGTGACTTACCACAGCGTGACATCAAAGGAGAGGGTATTACAAAGGTAGAACACAACGCGGAGGAGACGAACAGAAGAATGAGAATTATGGAGGATGCAGCATCTAGCTGGCAGCGACCGGCGAGAACAGCAATGAGTGGGCAGCACAGCAGTCTTGCCCCTTTGCATCAGAGCGGGAAGGAAGGGGCGCGCAAGAGTGCCCCTTCGGAGATGCCAAGAGGAAGCCGCGGAGACGCGACACCAAACCACGCCAGGGCTACGCGCTGCGTCTTCGAAGGGCAGCGGGTGCGTGAACAGGGAGAGCATCCACCTGCGCTGCCAAACCCGAGCATTCGCGGAAAACAGATCTTCAAGGCGCATCTGCTCTTTAATCATGCGACACCCCCTCTCCCAGTCGAAAGGTTGCCAACCCGAACCTACGCATTCGACCGCGGACCCCTTCTTACCCCTCGGCGCCTCGGAAGGTCTTCGGCGGTCTGTGGCGGTCCTCGGACCGTATTCGGCGGCCGTTGGCGGTGTCCAGCAGTCTTCGGCGATTTCTGGCGGTCTTCGAAGCAAAAGCCAGGAGGTTGCGTTCAACAAGGGGCCATCGGCAGCGAGCGAGGAGGGGAAGTGAGAAGGAGAAGGCCTTCTGAGAAAGCTCGAAAGTTCCCCGGCCTTCTGAGAAGTTCTCTGAGACTTCCCCAAATACACAGAGAAACTCTCAGAAGGCGCAAGGGCTTCTGAGAAGTCCCGGCGCCTTCTGAGAAGGCCTTCTCCTTCCCATTTCTCTCCCTCGCTCGCCGCCGGGGTCCGTGATCCCTCTCACGCCGTCCCCACCACAAAGCAGCGCACACCGCACAAGGCGGTGGCAAGCCCTGGACCACGCGCGGGCACCTGGTCGTGAGCTCGCCTCGGTGCTGACATGGGTGATTTGCCAGCCTGGAACATATCCCTATCCCTATGGTGGGCATCGCCTCACCACGATGTCGATCTTAGGGACTCCCTCAGTTCCTGAGGGTGCATCCCTAAGATTGTCATCGCCTTTTGGCGTGTCAATCGCAGGGATAGGGATAAGTTCGAGGTTGGTGAGTGGTCGGGGGGGAGCATGTTCTCCGCTGCGCGCTGGCCCACGACGCACGGCACCGCACGCTGCGCACACAGCAGCAAGCACGTGGCACAAGGGAACACAGCGCAAAGCAAAGGGCACACAGCATCCGGGGCCGGGCAGAGAACAACACGGCGTCAAGAACAAGGGATCAAGCAGAAAGCGGTACCCAAGCACACGGCACTACGCACATGGCATCACGCGCATGGCAAAAAGCACCATGCGAAATGCACTCAACAAAAACACACACACACACACACACGGCACCATGCACATGGCAAAGAGCGCACAGCACCAGGCACGGGACACAGCACCAAGCATCTGCGTCTGTATGTATACATATATATAGATATACACGTAGATATATGACAAATCGTGTGCTACGTGGTGGGATAATCATTTCAACCTAATGGTTACGTAAGCAAATTCTAAAACAGCCGTCGGGCACCTGGAACAACACAGGTGGGAGAAAGGGACTTCGTGTGGAAGCGATCCGTCACCGTGCCCCCTGGCACGCTGAGGAGTGCCAGAATGCCAGGTGCTGTCTGGCAGGGTTTCTGCAATCTTCTAAGGACACGCCCTCTTGCGTGCACCACCCCCTCTTCACGAGGCCACAATTCCTCGCAAAACACATAGAAGTTGCGCTCCTGAGGCCCAGATGCCTCCCGCCCAGAATGCTGCGCTGGCACGGTTGCGGAATTGCCTGAGGCAGCTGGACAGGAAGAGGTTGCACAAATGCGAGCGGCCCATGGATTACGGCGCATATCCTCGATGCGATGTTTTGTCCAAGTTGCGAAGACATGTTCCAGAGAGAACGAGCACGAGGTCTGGTCCGCACTTCACCCGCGGAAATATTGCGCGCGCCTGATTGAAAGTTCAACCAGTACCCTAGGCTGCTGCCCGATTTGGTACATGCGTAGCTTGATATACAAGAGCAACGCTTCAAATATGTATGCCTATCGTATGAGCAAGGCGCTTCGTTCGTTTCATCGACGATCAGACAGCTTGCCGTGGCCGAAAAAAGCTCAATCGAAAACGAGGGTTACACTTTGTCTCCGTGGAAGAAGCAGCTGGGAGTTGCAATGATACACCCCCGTGCGCAAGGCACTGGAAATGACCAGAAATTGATTGCCTCACAGCTTAATTAGCTCAGGAAATGCACGAAAGACTGGCACTCGACATGTCGAAAGCCCACGTATACCATCGTGATGGTGCCCCCTTTTCCTGAGAGAAGCTCTTCACTACCCTCCCACTTTGCCAGGTACAGCTCTGGCGTGATGGTATTCTTCTCGAAGAGCCGGTGCACCTCTTCGCTCAGGCGCCAGCAGCTCCTCCTGACGCTCATCTTCCCATCGAAACCCAAGAAACCCAGGGGTGTCCACTGTACGATTCGCGCAGGCACCGTCAGCGAACTGGCCAGTCGTAAGCAGTCCCAGACGGCGCCGGCTCAAACGTGGCCTGACTGGCCCCCTCCCCCTCTCACCCCTAGTCACGCCCGTGCTCGTCGGGGGCGTCCAAGAGGGGGGCGAGGGCGGCGTCCAAGGGGGGGGGGGGGGCGCGCAAATCATGGCCGGCGGCATGTGCGCGGCCCAGGGGGGGGCTGGGGACGTATTACAGTAAGAAGAGGCCCCACGAAATCTGGGGAGATATCGTGGCCGCCGCCATGAGATCCCCTCGCCTGGCCCCCCTCTTGTCCGCCCCCGATCTCGCCAGGGGATGAAAAAACTGTCTCCTCGCCCTCGGGGCTCCTCTCCAGCCGCCTGGCCACGCTCTGGAGCGAGGCGACGGAGACTGTTACGGAGGGGGTTGGCCGGCTGGGGGTCGGTCGGTCAAGCCGCCCCTGAGACTCGGGCCGTTGGCTCGCATGGGGCCCCAGGACCTTGCATCGGAGGCGCGACTTGGGGGGAGCTGAGAGGGTAGACAAGAAGCGCGTTCCACTACTTGCAAAAAAACTACTCACAAGTGGCCTGGACCCACCGGGGGAACTTTACGATACATTACACCAAGGCAGACGTATGGTTTGGCGGACGCCGGACGTTTGCGAGTGGGCACTTTGCGAGTAGTGGAACGCGCTTGGTGAGAGTGGGCAGGCCTTCTCAGAAGGCGGCGGGGCCTCCCAGAAGCACTCTGGCCTTCTGAGGAGCCATCTCTGTCTTCGGAGAAGGCTCAGAAAGCGTCTCGGAAAGGGAAAGGCCCTCTGGGCCCTCTGAGAGGGCCCGCCCCCTCTGCCTTCCCCCCGGGCGCGACGCCGATGTACGCATCGATCCGGCTCGAGCAGTCACAGACAGAGGTTGGGTCGACTTCGGTGGCATCTCATGAGAGCCTCCCGTGCCATCGTGCTGGCTCTTGCGAATAAAGACTAAGTGTAACTAGTCGACACTGAATCGACACGAATCGACGCTGATCGATCGTCATCGACGCTAAATCGGAGCTGTCCCATCGCTTACCCGACGCTAGACAACACTGACGCACCCCAAAGACGAAATGACGAGGGTAGACAAGTCTAGTTCGTCGTCGTCGTCGTCGTCGTCGTCGTCGTCGTCGGCTACCGGAATCGATGGCTCCACTGGCCGATTTGCTCACGGCACCGTGCTGCTCCCTCCCTCGGCTTTGGACGTCGGGGACCTGCCGGGCAGCGACCGTGGCGGGTCGCGCTTTCCGCGCTTGGTCGGCCGGCCGCCCCCGCCCGATGCGTCGACGGCCGAGGCGAGACGACGACGACAACGACGACGACGACGACGACGACGACGACGACGACGACGACGACGACGATCACGACGACGACGGCGGCGGCAGGACGACGACGACGACGACCAGCGGCGGCGGCCAGTGGAAACCTCCTAAATGGGATCCGGATAGCCGCGAATGGTCAACAAAAACAAGTGAGAACATAGGCAGTTCTTGAGCGGGGGAAGACGAATCTAATTGCCGCCCGAGAGCGTCAGGGGCGGGGGGGCGGTTAGCATTGAAGACCCTTACGGGTTAGATGGGGTCGGAGTCGGATGATCGCGCCGCATCTCCGATGCATCGCCGATACACCGGTGATACATCGGTGATGCATTAGTGACATCGGTGATGCATCGGCGCCATCGGCGTGGACAATAAAAGGACTCCACATCGAGCCGCATCGCCGATGCAACCGCGAGGCGGCGCTGCCCCCTGGCCCCATCTGCTTAGTCGGACCCCGCCTGGTAGGCCTGGAGGGGGGGGGTGAGGAGGGCACGAGGGACAAATGGGCGACGACGCGGACTGGCACCCACGGAGCGGCGATGACGCTGACTGGCACCCACGGAGCACGAGGGAGAGGAAGGCGAGGGAGGAGACCACGGGGGCGGCGGCACGCCTCTGGCATCGTCTTCTGCACCAGCAGGCCGAACTGAAACCTGTGCCGTGGCGCGTCCAGTCTGGTGCGCGTGCGCGCGCCATTCCCGCGGCGCCGAGCTCGACATGCCAACGCTCCTGTCAGTGGTTCGATCAGCGCTGATACTGGCAGTACCTTCAACGTCACCGGTTACAGCAACAAGTGGACCATAAAACAAACGACACCCCCCCACCTACGGCAAGAAATCTGGCGTGGGCGTCTGCGTGGCATTCGCTACGGCGCCCGAGGGGCCGCGGTGCAACACGGGGGGCCGTAGGTGGGGTGGTGTCGTTTGTTTCCTGGTCGAACGAAAGAGAGAGAGAGAGAGAGAGAGAGAGAGATATATATATATATATACATATATATATATATACAGAGAGAGAATATGCTGGAGTATGCTGAGGTGTCCACGCATGTGGGAAGCAGGGGCGGAGGGCGGGGGCTTGTCGCCATCGCCGCAGTGGCGTTCACCGCTTGCTCCTTGTGCAGGGGGTAAGGGCGTTCACGCTATGCCCGTCACGGCGCCCCGCCCTCGCCGGCTCATAGCTTCCCTCCCTCCCTCCCCTCCTCCCCTCCCTCCCTCGCTATCTGCCCTCCTCCCCTCCCTCCCTCCCTCCCTCCCCTCCTCCCTCCCTCCTCCTCCCTCCGCCCCCTCCCTCCCTCCCCTCCCTCGCCATCTGCCCCCAGCTTTGGGTTGCGCCAGAGAGGGGGGCCAGGAGGGGGGGGGAGGTGAGCGCCCCCTGGCCCAAGGTACGTGCGCGGACGAGGGGGGGAGGGGTGCCCAGGGGGGCGCGTTGAAGGAAGAAAAAGGAGGGCCACAAGAAATCGGCGAGACTGCACTGCCCCAGCATGATATCCACCGAACACACACATAGACACACACACACACACACAAACTTGTTTTCCGTCGGCGGCGAGGCAACGTTGGCTACGCCAGCGATAGAGCTAGACGGGGGCACAGAAAAGCGGACTGGCCAGCTTGCAAGAGTGGGAAGCGTGGGGAGAGGGCAGAGCAGGCGGCCGCGGGCGGGGGGGGGGAAGAAAGGCCACTCAGAGATGGAAGAGCTCGCACCTGAGTGTGCTGGCGCGGCCAGAAACACACACACACACACACAAACAAACAAACAAACAAACAAACAAACAAACAAACAAACAAACAAACAAGCAAACAACACACACACACACACACACATACACTCCTGGTCCTCACCCTCCTCGCAGACGCGCCCGCCAGATGTCGTCTTCCCCCCTCCTCCCTCCTCCGATAAATCCGACGTCGTGCAGAAAAGACAGCGTCACCGATATCACGACGACCTCAGAGCCCGCATGGGGGGGGCATCCTCGAACCGCCTCCTCCGCCTCCTCCTCTTCTTCTGCTTTGTAATAATATAACTATTGCTGGGATTATTATTATTACCATGATGAATATTATTATTCCTTCATCTCCTCCTCCTCCTCCTCCTCCTCCTCCTCCTCCTCCTCCTCCTCCTCCTCTGGGGGGAGGACCGCCGACCCCTCAAGACCTGGACCGCTCCAGCGGTGCGCTTCGACCCAGCGCCGAAGCAAAAAGCAGGAACCGAAGGCGCCGGCGCCGCGGCTGTCGCCGCCCGCCGGAGGCCTGCCTCCCCCCCCTCTCCCGCGTGCGCCGCATCGCGCGTTTCCCCCCTCGCGGGATGATCGGGCCGCCGCCACCAAGGTACAGCCCGCGCACGAGCGCTCGGCCTCTTGAAAATTCGCCGGGTGGCCATCGCCCACTGCCGAGGATCTGGCCGAAGGGAGAGCTGTTCCGCGAGGGGCTGCGTCGCAGGGACGCCGCGGCTCCTCTCGCCGAGCTTGTGGGGGGTCAGGCCCCAGCATCTTCCCTTTTGCAAGTTCTTGCAGCGAATTGGTTGGCTCACCGAAGGCAGAAGTGTTGTCCTCCAGCAGTGCCCCAGACAGGTGACTGCCTTCCCTCGGCGGCGAGTCCAGGGGGGGAAGTGAGATGGGACGGGCCGTCTCGGAGGGCAGCGGGGCCTTTCAGAAGCCCTCACGCCTTTTGAGAAGCGACCTCTGGCTTCGGAGAAGGCTTGCAGGGCTCCGGCGCGAGGGTTTCTGAGAAGCCCCGTCGCCTTCGGAGAAAGCATGTCCTCTCTCATGTCCGTCCTGGGCGCCACGCCGATTCATTGCAGCACACAAAATTCCCCCTTCCGTAGATTCCAGGGCTCCGCGGTATATCGCTGCGCGCGGGAGGCCGCGCTGTGCCCAGCTGAATCCGCCCTTCACCCCTCTCCCGCCAACACAACAAGGGAGGACGAGAAGGGAGGGGGAGGAGAAGGAGGAGGAGGAGGAGGAGGAGGAGGAGGAGGAGGAGGGGGGAGGAGGAGGAGGAGGAGGAGGAGGAGGAGGAGGAGGAGGAGGAGGAGGAGGAGGAGGAGGAGGAGGAGGAGGAGGAGGAGGAGGAGGAGGAGGGGAAGGAGGAGGGGGAGGAGGAGGAGGAGGAGGAGGAGGAGGAGGAGGAGGAGGAGGGGGAAGTAATCCATCACCCCGTTACGAAGGGAGAACGGGGAGAGGAGGGAGGGAGGAAAAGAGGAAGGGAGGGCGGTAAAGGGAGAGAGAGGGACAGAGAGAGAGAGAGAGAAAATGAAAAAAACTAACAGACAAAAAAAAATGATGAGGATGGAGGGCGAGGGATGAGGAAGAGTAAGAGGATAAGGAGAATGAAGAGAAGAGAGGGAAATAGGGAGGGAGGTAGAGAGAGCAGGAAAATGAGCGTGAGAGAGCGGGAGAGGGAGAGGGAGAGCAGGAGCGAGAAAGAGAGGAGGGAGGAGCACGACGACGACGACGACAAACAGGAGAGAGAGACAGAGGGGGACCGCGCGAGTGCGGACGACGGCTTGTCCACATGCCCACTGTACACGCCAGCGGCCTGCGCCGCACCCTCGGCCGGCGCCAGGAAGTATAAACGAGGGCCGCGGGGGCTTCTGCCCCGAAACTCACAGGCGCCAGTGCCTGCGGCACGCTGGGCCCCTCCCTTCGGCGACGACGCGAGGCGGCAGAACCGACAGGACGCGGGCTACGTGGCTGCGTATATACATACACACATATATATATATATATATATATATATATATATATATATATATATATATATATATATTGTACAATGTTTATAAACCAGGTGCGCTTACATACATACATTCATTCATTCATACATACATACATACATACATACATACACACAGCCCTGTATAAACACACATGAGACATATACTCGTATATACATACAAATAAGCATGCCCACCAATCAAAAAAAAACAGACTTTTAGATATATATTTTTATATATATATATATATATATAAATAAAAAAAAAAAAAAAAAAAAAAAAAAAAAAAAAAAAAAAAAAAAAAAAAAAAAAAAAAAAAAGTCTGCATATCAACATGCAAACATGCATGCATACATACATGCACACATACATACATATATGCATCCTTACATACATAAACACATACAATTACGTGATCGCACGCGCGCACTAAACAAAGGAAAAAAGGAAGAGAGGGGAGAAGACGAAGACCGGAAAAGGACAAGCATGATGGTGTTGTGGCAAGTCGGCCACGCGCCCAACTCTTCAGCGCGAGCCCCTGCTGGGTTCGTGCTGGCACGGCGCGGCAGCGCAAAGGCCGCGCGCCCTTTCGGCGCGCTCGCCGGCCCACAGGCCCTTGCCGAGGACCTGGAGAGGGCCGCCAGGAAGCATCGCGGGGTAGGTGGGCAACCCTGCTGGCTCGAGCCTCACGGAAACATCCATATTTACGATCGTCTTATTAAAGCTGTCAGTCTCGTTGGCGCATTCCGACTCGGACTCAGAGTCGGACTCGGAAAGGGCGGCGACAGTGGGACCCACCGCTTCAGCAAGAGCCCGATTACCAGCTCCTTCATCACCCTCTGGTCGCCCATGAGACGAAGAAGCGGGTTGCCCCGCAGGCGGTGTCTCACCCGCCTCTCCATGGTATTCTCGATTGTGTATCTTCAGGCGGCGATTGATGTAGAGGTGCTGCCAAAATCGCTCGATCCGTTTAGCCTCGCCCTCCGCAATCGGCCGGCAATCAGCTTTGGTCGAACATTCTGCAGGAGAAAGATTGGGCGGATCAAACCATGCGACCCAGACCATCTCCACGAGACCAGACCCACGGCGTTCCCTCAACATTAAGGTTCCTTGACGGTCGCCCCATCGGACCCGCGGGGCTGCGGTCAGCAAAATGTTCGCCAGGGCTGACAACGCAACGGTAGGTATCTCGGTCACTAATGATGGCCCTCTTGAGGTCCCTTCGCTCCAGACTGGAGGCCGCCCTGGCGACCTTGCCCCTGCTGGCGCGACCAATTCTGCCATCATCACCCAGAGCAACATTGCGGAGTGAATGCCAGTGACGGATGTCATGTTCGGCCCAGCCTCGGTCGAGCCAGCGCTGCATCACGTTGGGCAGTATATCCAGACGGACCAGCCCACGATTTCCATAGCTGACAAGGCGCTGCACGCCTCGCGTTTCGGGCCCAGCTGGACGGTCTCCTATATGAGGCGGGCTTCCCCGCGAGCGCCCCCTTCTCGGCGGAGCCCCTGGGACCCTTGCGCCAGAAGAGTTGGGGCGCCGCGCGCCGCTGGAGCGAGCGCGGGGGCGCCCGCGCGAGCAACTCCGACCGTGACGCCGCATGCGATGACTCTCAGCTCCCCATGCATCTTCGCCATCATCTGCGCGAATCACCCGTCTCCAAACTGGGCGGCTCGCAGAACGGCCACGCGCCACGAACGTGAGAAGATGGCCTTCGCAACGCCCAGGCTCGCACTGGAAACGGTCGAAAAGATCACCAGCATTTCGCGGGTTTCCCCGCAGGGGTCGTCGTCGTATGATTCTCTGTCTATTGGATTACCAATGACCAGCGGATGGAGCATCAATTATACATCCTCCTCTGCCGCTGGACTCGCGGCTTCAGAATCCGCGGGCGCCCCCGCCATGTCGCGGTCTACGTCGGCGGGCAAGTGGAAATGC